TTAAGTGAGACAGACTTGAACCACAAACGACATTGTTTTGGTTACTTAGTGCTGCTCTGACAAAAAATATACCACAAATGGGATGGGTTGAAGTGTTATTTATTCTCTTATAGTTTGAGGCTTTAAGTCCAAGTTCAAAGTGCCAGGCTCTAGGGGCTGGCTCTAGGGCCTTTCTACCTTGGGCTTCAGCTCTGCCTCCTACTCCCAGCCCACTGGAGCTGGAGGCTTTTCTACACTCAGCTGCTGGCTGCTGAGGCCGACAAGCCCAAGGTTGAAAAGTAAAAAGACACAGTCCCATTGTTACCAAACCACGCAGCAGGCTGTTAATTCAAGTCCATTGACAGTCCCAAGGTTGGCTGAACATGGCAGGCTGCTGAACAACGACACAGCTACATGCAGGGTTCAAACGTGCCATAAGCTAGAGACCATTTCCCAAGGCTTCTCCTTATATAGCAAGCTAGAAGTCTGAGTTCAAAGTGCCAGCTCTAGGGGAAGGGTGAAAGCCCCTCAGCCTTGGGCTTTAGCTCTGACTCTTGCTATTGGACCACTGAAGCTGGAGGATCTCTTGGCTCAGATTGCTGAGCTGCTCAGGCTAACAAACCCCAGGTCAGAGAAGTAAAATGGCACAGTCCCAAGATTATCAAGTAAAACAGCAGGCCACTAATTCAGTCCATTAGCAGTCCCAAGATTGGAAGACAACACAGCAGGCCACTGAGATGAAAACTCAGCTACATGCAGAGTCCAGGCGTGCCAAAAAGCTTCAGAAACCTTTCTCAGTGCTTCTCATATACAGGAAGCAGACTATACTCCTAGGGTGGCTACTCAGCTGCTCACAGTAGATTCCACCATGGAGTTGATTACCAGTCTCATCATGGGGAATGCTACATCCAGCTGCCCACCTACTTAACCAGGCCCAGCCAAGTTGACACACAAACTTAACTACCACAATTTTCAAGTTTTCTTTTTAAAATTGTAGTTTAGCAAATTAGTTTCCTGTTCAGCAATTTTTGCATAGATCCGTTCGTGACATTGATTACTGCCCCCTCAGTGTGTCAGCACTTTCCCCACTTCTACCTTTTTCCATTAGCCCAGCTTTCCTGCCTCTTCCTGCCTTCTGAATTTGCCTTTTGGGTAAATATTGCCCTATTGGTCTTATATAGTTGAGTGTTCTGTGAGTGAGCACCTTCCTCGCAGGTGTTATTGTTCACTTTATAGGTTGTTAGGTCATCTCTTGGTATGGGTTTAGTTCTAACTTTGAAGGGTGCCATAGTCTCAGGAGTTTCACTGGTCTTTATCAGACCAGTAAGTCTGATCTTTTTTGTGAATTTGAATTTTGTTGTGCATTTTTCTCTCACTGTGTCCAGGACCTTCTATTGTGATCCTGGTCAGTGCTGTCAGTGGTAGCTGGGCACGGTCTAGTGAATTTTTCTTTTCATTCTATTAGGTAAATAAATAATAAGTTATTACTAGATAATACAAATAGTACAAATAAGAAGCATCTTTCCATATCTGCTGCAGTTAGCCTTGGCACATGAAAGAAATTATTTGTATCAAGGCAATGCTGTAGAAAATCCCCCTGACAGTTACAGTTTTTAGTTGTGTATTTTTTTAAAAAAAATCTTTGCATGACCTATTGATTATCCCAACCAAAAAGACACCATCACAGAACATGTACCCCAAGTCATGCTTTTCAAGCATGAGGACTTCTTTTAATATCAAACAGTATTATGTTCTATATGTGATAGTAAGTTGGTGTGAAAATTTGATAAACCACTGTGAATTCTGTAATATCTTCAAGAGCTTTTTACTTTATTAACCTAGAAAGCACCCATGGAGATTAAAGCAATTTCAATTTTCTGCTTATAATAAGGAGTGTTTTTTGTCATTTACTGTATTTTTCATGGTTCCTTGAATGGGTAACATTTGTTAACTAAAGTTCTTAATCATTGACATGCAAACTGAATCATGTTTCCTTTCTACCTTAGATAGCCAGTTTTTATATTAAAATATAACATTATACTAGATACACATGGACTTTGAAGGATAAAAGAGTGGCAAACCACTTAATAAAGCTTATGAGTGCAAAGTATTCCATACTCCATCTCCCAACTCTGATGATACCCTATCAGGCCATTTCATTCAAGCAGCAGCTAAATACAATGAAGGCAGTTAAAGGGAGAATTACAGGATAGGACAGACAGCTTTTGTATTTTGTATTTGATGTTTTAGCAGATGCCTTTTGAAAATGCTTTCAGTCTTATTATAGAGATAATATTAAAGAGATTTCAAAGAAAAGAGGAAAAATAGATTTTTTTTCATGTTTCTTAAAAGCGCTTAGCTTTTCCTTTTCTATTGGTGAAGTTTTATTATACAGAATCAAGTTGTTGATGATAATTTTAATAGCAGAATATAGACCTCAGCTGTATATACATACCTTCATCATCAGACAGAGTTGGAATTGTGTCTTAATTGCTAAAATTCTGTATCAGTGAGGGAGGGTGGGAAGGGAATCTGAAAGTGATCTAAAGTTCAATTAATCAAACATTGAGATTGTCTGCAATTTTAATAAAGTTCATACTCTATTCACCTTCAGGATTTATAACCCCTACTTAGTTCAAATTAGAGATCACCTCAAAATGTTACATTATTTATTAATTTTTACTATCACATGCCTTCAATACTATGATCATCATCATTAGAATTAAAAATATGAAGCAAGGAGCAGGATTGTTTGAAAATTGCCCAGAATGTTCACTTTGAGTTTCCTAAACAATAAGCCACCTGGTACTGTTCCTCTCTTCCTTTCTCCCTGCTTGAGGAGCAGCATTCAAGTTTAGTTTACCTTTAGACTAGTGGCTTCCTTTTCAGCGGAGACTCATGGTCTCCAGTTAGAGTTTTCAGTTGTAAACAGCTACCCAAAATTCAGAATACTTGATGCCAGGCTCTGTTCTCCACTGATAAATTGCTCTCCTTCTTGCACTGTAATAAGGGAGATAAACAAGGAAACACTTTAAAATAGCCTCCATTAAAATCGGGATAGGAATTAGAATAGTCAAATAAGGAGAATTAATAATGAATTATAATAAAAATGGGCAAACAGTTTCTGTTTTTCACCAGTTAGCTTCCTCTGTAGTTCTGTAGTGATACTGCCTCGGAAACAAAAGGAGAGGTTGCTAGAGTCAGGTCTGACTCAAAGGCGCATAACAACAACATAGTTAAGAATATCTCTCAGAGGACCAGGTCTGTTTGTCCTGCAATATCATAGGCATGACAATAGCATGCAGGTCATTAGACAATACAAAAATGGTTTGTCATCTCAAGAACTCGTGTCTTGGTAAAGGTAGTGGGGAAACTTGTAAGTGTAAAAACAACTTGGTAAAAAGCTACCTTGATTAGTTATGGCCCCTCTTTATTTTTTTTAAATTTTTATTGTGAATTGCGTGAAAGTTTACAGAGCAAATTCATTTTCCATGTAGCAGCTCACATATACTTTGTCTCGTGACATTGACTGCAGTTTCCCATAATGCAACATCTCCCCTCCCACTTCCTCTCCATAGTTATCTTTTCCCTGTGTTCCCTGTGTCCTTCCCTCCCATGCACTCCTGCCCCACCCTCCCCACTCCCAGCTATCTCCCTGTGCACACACTGCCCTTCTATTCTCCCAAGATTGATCTCTCCAAGGAGTGTATCTCCCTAATGTAAATACTCACATGCCTGTCTTTTGTTTGCCTGGAAGCCACAGGAGTGATGGCCCCTCTTTTTTTGTCTTATGTAGTAAGACTTGAAGGTAGGGATATATCCTGTGTTTGATTAGCAGAGTTTTGGCATTCATCAGAGTTTATCCAGAGGGACAGGGTTCCAATGTGAGATGTGTCAAATTATTGGCTACGAATCAGTTGATTATGTTGTGGTTCTTACGGAAAATTCCTTACATACTCTGTTGTGGTTCATCAGTAGTTTTTAATCAGTCTGCACTGGAGAAAAGGAGTCTGTATACATTAAACAAATAGAAAAAGAAATAATTTGGAATGTTTTCTTTATTCAAAGGAAGTTTCAAAATATCTCCCATTTAACAAAATGGTTAGAAGATGTTTAATAAACTATATGTAGAAGAAATCTGTTTAGTATATGGCATCAGAAGGAGGAATAGACTGAAAGGATTTTGTTATACTAAGAGCAGAAACAGTATCTGCTCAAAAGAAATTATATAATCAAGATAAAAAAAACACTAAAGACTAAGTAATGTTTATGTCTGTAAATTAATGTAAGGAATGAAATACTGGTTGAGAGTATGTGCTGCTTTTACTCCTAGGGAAGAATTTCAGTTGAGGTAAATGTTATATTGGATTTCAGTGAAAGGGAAAAACAAATCTTAGTACATGTAAGTGGAAAAACTTGTTGTTGTTATGTGCCGTCGAGTCAGCCCCGACTCATAGCGACCCCTCCTTGGGTTTCCGAGGCAGTATCACTACGGAAGTAGGATTGCCCAACCTTCCTTCCGAGGAGTGGCTGGTGGGTTTGAACCGCCAGCCTTCTGGTTAGCAGTCAAGTGCTTTAGCCACTATGCTACCAGAGCTCCTAACTTAACAGTTGTAAAAACAACTTGATAAGCTAAGTAGAGAAAGTAAAGCAAGTATATAAAACAGATTTTTTTAGACTTATGTTTTAAATCATAATGCCATCTTGTTAAATTTGGTATTTGGGTTTCCTCCCACCCCCTTCAAATTAAATACATGACCAAGTTGTCTGTGTTCCCCTGTTACTGGTCTGTCTCTCTCACATTCTTTTACAATGGAACTAGCTAGAGAACATCATGTTAGATTGTCTCACTTAAGGAAGTAGTAGTGGTAACATCATAATTAAGGTTTTCTTTCTGTAGTAGTAAATATTCAGTGAATGATTTTCATTAGAGATTTAAGTACTAATCATTGTTGAAAGCATGTAATTATAGTATGCCACATTATTAGATGTTTATGGTTTGCTTTCTTTTTGTAGAACACAAAGTAATTATAGTGGGACTGGATAACGCGGGGAAAACCACCATTCTTTATCAGTTGTAAGTATGGGTGTTCATCTAAAAGTTTTCATTATTTTAATTATGGAAACTAATTTAATATAAACAATAAGAATGAGATACTGTTATAGTATAATAAGAAAGTTATCATATGATTTTGTATAAATTTTGTACTTTACCAAACACAAAATTTATTTTAAAACATTAATGAACTACTGTGTTTATCAAAGCCTTCACATATACTCGTGTTTCCATCCTAGGCAGAATTATAATATTAAACAAAAATAAAGAAAGCTTACGTTATGTTGCTGAGTGACATGATGAAATGGAGTTCACTTAGCTATGTAAATAGATTGATATCTCTAGGAAGCTATTGCTACTCTTCTGACCAATAACTTGAGAATTGTTTAAACTAGCCAGACGTGTCAAATCAAAAGAAATGAAGGTTTCTCTTTAAAATACTGCATCAGTAGCATGGAGCTGGGTAAGACCTGAGACTTTCAGAGAAACACATTAATTCCTTAAGGAAATTTTTACTGCCCAGTAATTGGCTTTCTGAAGTACCTTCTGTTTTCCTTTCAGAGTCAATGAAGTGATCTTTTAAGCAGTGGAAATTTATCTTCCACAAGCATTTAACAAATTGTTAAAAGCACTGTGCATAGATATATGGCTGTTTTCTTCCCACCTTACCTTTCATTACAAGTTCATCAGCCTGACAGCTCTCCACAGATACTTCACTTGTACAGTGATTAACACATTTTTCAGCTACTTTGATAAAAAGCTGCAGACTTAATGTTAGTCGTGAGAGTTGAATAAATGCTTGATTTTCTTTAAAATGTTTCACTAGACATTATATATTTTAATATAACTTTCAAACACCAAATATAAGTATTGTTGAAATAATTTTACACATAGCTTTTAAATATATATATAAAAAACTCAAGAGAGATTTGCAGGCCTCTTCTAACATGCTGTTTTTTTTCATAGATAATGTGCCAACATGTACAACATGTGAAAATAGTGCAGGAAATTGCACAGTGGCAAAAAATGTATAAGCTGTGTTATTTGCGTGAAAATGTTACATGTAACAGGCAGATGAGTGTTTGTTGTGGCAGCTGACTGCCCGAGGCCCTGAGGCCATCCCCGGGGGCCAGGGCGAGTGTTTGTTGAATGAACTAATGTAGCTTCTCTGATGATTATAACACGTGGTATGTGCATCAGTGTTTTAAATATATGTATATATTTACAATTAATTTTAGTTAAAATTTCTATTTGCCCATGGCCTTAACTTTTAAAAAAGAAAACTGTTGTGTGCTGTCAAGGCGATTCTAACTCATAGTGGAGTAGAACTGCCCTATGGTGTTTCCTGGGCTGTATTCTTCATGGAAGCAGATCTCCAGGTCTTTCCTCCCACGGAGCCACTGTGGGGGTTCAAGTGTTGGTATTTCAGTCACCTAAAAACTTGCTTTATTGGATAGGGCCTTGCTTCAGGTCTAACTGATATTAGGTACATTGCTATGGGAATATTTGACCATAGAAATGCTAACTCAAAACCAGAGTCTTCCTTCTATCCAGATAATTTAAATGTCACATTATTCCACTAAAAACAACAGCACACATACAAAAAAAAAAAAAAACGCCTTTAGAAGTTGTTTTTGGTCTAGACATTTATTTGCACAAATTTTATTCATGTTTGCTTTTGATGCTAATGACTACCAGCATTGGCACAAATAAAAGGAAAGGTTGATTGATCTTAAAAAGGTAAAGTGGGCATCAGGTTTTAAAGATTTACCAAATTGTTTTTATGGTGTTTGTCTTTCAACAGCTTAATGAATGAAGTGGTTCATACATCTCCAACCATAGGAAGCAATGTTGAAGAAATCGTTGTGAAGAACACACATTTCCTTATGTGGGATATTGGTGGCCAAGAGTCACTGCGGTCATCCTGGAACACGTATTACTCAAACACAGAGGTATACTATGAACCAAAGAATGAACCCAGAAAATAAATAGGCTGCACATAGGGCATGTTGACAGTTGTCTTTTAATAAGATGCTTTTTAGTAAGCTATTTGGGCTTTTCAAATTTAAGAGAAAAGGTGAGTAGAAAGAGTAATAAATAGTAATATTGGTGAAGTGCTTACTGTTGTGTAGGCTGTTTCAGTTCATTCTCACATTAATAACTAAAATATCTCTATTTTATCAGAAATCTAACACTAACAGAACTTCAATACATTTACCCCAGATCTCACAGCTTATAAGAGGGCCCTGGTTAGGGGAGGACAAATATTTTAAACATAATATTAATAAAAGTTATAAAACTAACATGAATTGAACATTCAGAATTTTGGTAGAGTTGTATTTTAATTAAAAAATAAAAATTGAATTTGCAGGTCCCCTCCCAAGGTACTGTCATTTACTTCATTATTTTACCAGTTGGAGACCAAACTCAAGAATAAATCTGGATTCTCCTATTTCTGTTTTAATTTCTTCTTAGAAGCATTTTTTTTTTTTTTTAAGAGTATGTGTTGCTTTTGAGGGAGGTTTATCTATGAGAAGGCTGTTATTGTTGTTATGTGCCCTCAAGTCGGCCCTCCTTGGGTTTCCAGGCAGTATCACTACGGAAGTAGATTGCCCAACCTTCCTTCCAAGGAATGGCTGATGGATTTGAACCACCAGCCTTCTGGTTAGCAATCAAGTGCCTTAGGCACTACGCTACCTGAGCTCCCTATCTATGAGAATAGTAATGCACAGTTGCACTCAAGTAATATTTCTTTGTAAAAAAAAAAATATTTTTTTTTGCCTGTTCATTGTTTGGCTGAAAGTTAGTCATGGGAATGAGTCCAGTTCCAGGCCCAAAGGGCAATTAGGGGCCATCGTCTTGGGGATTTCACCAGTCTCTATCTGACCAGTAATCTTGGTCTCCTTCATGTTTTTAAAAAAATGTTTCCATATTTTTCTCCTATTTTATCCAGGATCTGCAATTTTGATCCCTTTCCGAGTCATTAGCAGTGGTAGCTAGACACCATCTAGTTCTTCTGGTTTCAGGGTAGTATAGGCTGAGGTTCTTATGGTCCATAAGTCCTTTGGACTAATTGTGTCTGTGCATCTTTGATTTTCTTCACTCTTCTTTGTTCCAGATGAGGAGAGACATGCAATTGCACCTTAGATGGCTGCCTGCAATCTTTTAAGACCCTAGTCACTACTCACTAGAGTAGGATTTAGAACATTGTTTTTTTGTATACTATGTTGCACCAATTAAGCTTGATGTCCCCCACGACCATGGTTCCAAGCCCATAGGCCCAGCCTCTCACTCCCTCAAGGTGCTTAATTACGGCTAAGAAATTATCCTAATCTTGTCTCCTGTTAGCTCAATACTGCATGTGGACATATTTATAACACATACAAATATACATGTAAGAATATCATCTGCCCAGCCTTTGTATAGTCATGGGTATATTTCTTTTTGCCTACCGATACCTGATCTTCTTGCCTGTCTACCTAGGTATCCACCCATAGATTCATGTTTGCTACTGATAATTCAGTATTCTATATGTAATAGTATCTACCTTTATTAATCTGTTCCTCTTGTGTAGCTCTCTCTATTTTCCTTTTCCTTCTATGTATATTGTGCTGGTTACATGCTTTTATAAATTGTCTTTCTCTTAACCCAAATCAACACCTGTCTCTTAACTAGCAAGCAGTTTTCCCTCCCCTCTCCTTCCATCCCAAAGATGCTTACCTTCCCTGTCCTTGACTTTTTATAATAACAGAGTCATACATTATTTGTCCTTCTGTGATTGACTTATTTCACTCAGCATAATGCCCTCCAAGTTCATCACCAGGTGATTCACAGATACTCATTATTCTCAAATGTTGCATAGTATCCCCCGGTGTCTATATACCATTGTTTAGTTATCTATTCATCTGTTGATGGGTACCTAGGGTAGCTTTTCTTTGCAAAGAGATACTGTTATTTATAAAACCAATTATTTTTTTCTAAAATGAAGCCTCTTTAAATTTGAGGCTTTGTTTTTTGGAGGAGGAGCAGTGGAAGGGGTGTGATGGAAAGGAGTTTTTGGTGGCTAAAGTTCTCTTTAAAGTTAAAATGATGTACTCTTTTTACATTAATTTTGTAAATGGTATATGTATTTGTGTCTGTATATTCTAATGCAGTATGGAAGTAGTCAGAGCAGGATGGCACATCATAGTATTAAGCAGCTGTGGTGGCAGTGTTATTTTACTTGAAGGTGAAAATGGTTATGTTCTTAGCTGCTGTCAAATCAACTATGACTCATGGCAACCCCATATCTAACAGAATAAAACACTGCCTGATCTTGTGTCATTCTCACAGTCACTGGTGTGATTATGGTTATAGGTTAATTTAATAAATATTTCTACAGTAAAATGACATTTTGAAACTAGATTATGTTAGAGAGTAAGGGAAGAACAACATTTAGACATATGGCTATTCAAATAGCATAACTGTTGCAGTTTTTTTAAAGCTGAGAAGTAACTCCAGCTGTAAAAAGAGGTATTTATCATTATCTTTGATAAATGCTTCAGAGTTGATTCTAGCTGGGTTATTATACTTAAAGCATTGCAAAAGGACAGTTTATGAAATTACTGAAAGTCCAGAAGACATGAGTCTAGAAAGAGATACTTTATTGCTTATGCCATCTGTGTGAAATACTCCTTTAGTAAATTATTTCTACAAGAATACCAAAATTACTGCAAAGAACCTTTGGCTTTTGTAGCAGCATACCAGCATAGCACATAGCTGCACATTGCAGTCTTTGAACCCAAGTAGGGATTTTGTGTGTGTGGTCTTTTCAGTAATGACTTTGTTTACCCTTGTCATCTTACTTTTTGGAAATTCTTTACATTGAGGTGCGATCCACAAGCGGCATGTCTCCATTGTAATACCAGGAGTACAGTTGTTGACTAGTTCCTTACACCTCTTGTTAATTTGTCACTTCCCTATATTCTGTCCATTCTTTGCCATGTTTCTTGTGTTTAGCCTTCCTTTCACTTTCCCTTTTTCCCTTTCTAAGCCTTTTTCAGTTTATATTCTGATTACTCTAGTTGTCTCTCCTTAATTTTAAGATCATCTACATAATCTGATTCCACTTGCCTGCCTCAATTTATTTTACATTACTTCTCTACTAAAACCCTTAGCACTATTTAATCACCTTTCTCGACTTTTTCTTCTGCATGAACTGTTCAGTTTGGAGGCCTTTATTCACTATATTTTCTTCTTTTCATTTACACAAACTTTTTACTTTTAATACAATATTTTTATTTTACTTTTTTCATATATACTTTTACCAACAGATTTTTCTAGTTCTCATTGTTCTCGCCTTTCTTTAATGTCACCTGTTGCTGCTTTTAGCATATTCTTTAACACCTAAGTACAGGTATGTCTGTTTAACATCTTAGATATGTTCTATACAGGATATTGTGTGATTTAGATATTGTGTAAACACCATATTAAAACCTTATGGTGGCCTGCTTCCTGTTGTCCCTGTCACTGCTGCTGCTGCTGCTGGAGCTGCTGGTGGAGGTAGAAGAATGGGGACCAGCAGCAGCAGCAGCTAAAAGGGAGAGTGGAAGCCTAGCGAGAACTGAGCAGCTAGGGAGTGGAGGGCACACAGCCCTGTAACTGTTCCTCCTGACTGAGCAGCTTGGGCCCCTGCCGCTGCCACCACCACCACCACCACCACCACCACCACCACCACCACCATCTGCCTGGAGGATATTGCCCAGAGAGCCTACATCCACAGCCATGTCCTCTGCCTTACCTGCCTATATCCCTGCCGTGGTCCAGTGTGCAAGAGTGTGGGTTTGGGGTCTTTAAAACCATTGGAAAAAAAAACCAAAAAACCAAATTCACTGCTGTGGAGTCAGTCTCGACTCAGAGCGACCCCTCCTTTGGTTTCTGAGGCAGTATCACTATAGAAGTTTTCCCAGCCTTCCTTCCGATGAGTTGCTGGTGGGTTTGAACTGCGAGCCTTCTGGTTAGCAGTCAGATGCCTTAGGCACTATGCCAGCAGGGCTGCCTTAAAACCATTAGGGGGAAATAATAAACAAAGAGAACTGCTTTCCCTTTAAAAAACAAAAACCTTATGGGACCATGGACATATATGTGGTTGGACATTGCCTGAATGCATATTAAGTGACACATACCTGTATATGTGAGTCTGTTTGTCACATTTCTACTTCAGCTTTTATTATTTATATTGATATGTAAAATGGTGTCTTAATTTTTGAGGGTTTTCTTTTTAATTATCTTTTTTTTTTTCCTTCAAAGTAGTTTCTGTCTTAATAGCAGGAGACTGTCTTCCACATGAAGAAGTAAAACAATTAATTGGTTTAAATGAATGTTTTAGAGTAATTTTAAGTCTTTCATGAAAGAGTATTATTTAAAATTCCAGTTTATTACCTGCATTTGAAAACTTTTTAGTATTATGTATTGAGATGTTTGTTTTTGTTTTAAATAAACTTGGAGATAGTTTTCATTTGTTAAAATTATGAGTTGTCACTTTCTTATTATTAACATTGGGATTTTGCTTGCTAGTTGTGATTCAGCATTATATAAAATGCCTAATGATGAAGAAACTGGTTGTTGAATTGAGGAATCTGAGTGGCATAGACAGTTTAGCACTAGGCTACTAACCAAAAGGTTGGCGGTTTAAATCCACGCAGAGGTTCCTCAGAAGAAAGTCTTTGTGATCTGCTTCCAAAAGATCACAGCTGTTGAAAATCCTGTGGAGCACAGTTCTACTCTAAACACACATGGGGTTACCATTAGTAAAATCAAGTCCAAGATAACTGATTGGTTTATGGTAAAGATGAAAGAGCAGTAGGTTTTTCCTAGTAATGATGATGCTATGTGAAGAAAGTACTTTTTATTACCTGAGAATAGTTTTATAGAAACCTTTTCAACATCCCATTCAATTTTCTTTTTTTTTTTTTTCTTTTTAATTGTCTTCTAGTTCATCATTCTTGTTGTTGATAGCATTGACAGGGAACGACTAGCTATTACGAAAGAAGAATTATACAGAATGTTGGCTCATGAGGTAAATTCTGAAAGCAATCTTTAAAAAGCTGGAGATGGAGTAAGGTGTCTGCACACTGGTTTTGTTCTTTTACAAAGATTAATGTGATAGAGTGTTGGTTTTTGCATCATTAAAATTTTATATATTAAGTCTTAAAATCAGAAATTTCACTACTTTTTTCAGTTTTAAACTAACAGGTTATGGAAAAATTTATGAAGGTAAAACTACTTAATGCATGTCATTTTAAGAAAATCTGATAGATTAAATTGAGACAAGAAAGAGGAAACCTTAAATATTTTCCCTTCAAGGATTATATAACTGAAAATTTTTTAGTGAGTAAAATTTGAGATCTCTTAATTCTGAAATATTTCAGATACACAAAAAATTAATGGACTCATCATTCACTGTAACATATAAGATATCTGATGATACCTTTACAATCCGTTTTCCTTCCATTCATTCCCCAAGGTATTCACGATCCTAAAAATAGTCTTTGCCATGTATGTGTAATTTTATATTTTTAGTACATTTTTAATTATCCATAAATTATACAGACTGTTATGTTCTATATTCTTAAAACATTGTATAAAGGTATCATTATATATGTACTTTTCTGTGTAACTTACCTTTTTTTTCTCTTTGGTACCACATTGAGGTTTATCTTTGTTAATACCTATACCTTTGGTTCATTCCTTTTAACAGTTATCTAGTTTTCCACTGTATGAATGCACCACATTTGATCTGTTCTTTTTTTAATGAATAGTACAAAACATTAATATTAATGAAAATTATTTAAGTTAATAATCAGTGAGTATTATTTATAATGTTTTGACAGTATAAGGAGTGCTGCAGTGAACATTAATCTATGAGTTTATGTTATATAAAGAGCGATAAGCAGTAAGTCTTGACCAGCCCCCAACCCCCCATGCTGTACTTTAAATTTTGGAGAAATTTGGAATTAGAATATTTTTCTTACAGTTTGAAGTCAGTATTTAAGGTTCAGATTTGTTTTAGTTTGACCCCTTTGACATAAAAATAGGAAAATTAATTATCTAAATTACATTATCTGTCTATATTAGATTGAATCATTAAGTGATGGCTATTAGAGAGTTTTTTTTTTTTTTTTCAATAAGCTTTTGAAATTAAATGGTAGTGCCTAATCATTTCACAGTAGGAAGATTTCATTGTAACTGTCCAACAGTGTATATTTACTGTACATGAGTGGTTTTATTTGAATTGTGGCATTCATATTGATTGCAGGATTTGCGGAAGGCTGCACTCCTTATCTTTGCAAATAAACAGGATATGAAAGGGTGTATGACAGCAGCTGAGATCTCTAAATACCTCACCCTTAGTTCTATTAAGGATCACCCGTGGCACATTCAGTCCTGCTGTGCTTTAACAGGCGAGGGGTAAGTGCTCATCAAACTTTGGGGGGAAGTATGATGTCTCTCAAATTTCTCTATCAGCAATTTTAGACCAAATTGTCTTCTTTTATCCCCATTCTTTCTGCTCTTAATTAAAGATGGTTTTTGTAATGTGTCTCAAGCTTACAAGTTGAAATAATTTTAGTAAACAAAATTATGGACAAATTTTTTCTAACTTGTAATGTAAATGTAATATTTACCAATAAAGGGGCAAAACACACTTTCGATTAAAATTTTCACAATCCAGACTTTTCTGTTTCTCCTTTGCTTTTATCGTTGCTAACTGGAAAAGAACTGGAATAGCACCTGGATTATAGAGGGAATGTCAAAGAAATTTCACATTTTCTACAAAAGCTTAAGCCTATCCTAGCTTTCTTCAAGCATTCCTCTTCTTTAATATTAGAGTGGTTGAGGCATTAAGCTGCTAACGAAAAGGTTGGCAGTTTGAAACCACCAACTCCTGGGGAAAAATTATGCTTCTGTAAAGATGTACAACTATGGAAACCCTATGGGGCAGTTCTAACTCTGTTCTGTAGGTTTGCTATGAGTTGGAAGCAACTTTATGGTAGTGGGTTTCTTTTTTGGGGGTGAGGCAGAATTTTAGACAAAAAACATTTGAGACAAATGTTATCACTGTGTCTTTTTCCTTTCCCAAGAGTTTGAGTATGAATATAGTAAGCCAAGTAGAACCCAGTGTGTTACATTTGGATTACCCAGTTTATTTCCAAGAATTTATTTATTTTCAAATCAACCTGACCTTCTTAGTATTTATTTATTTATTTTTGTTATTAGAAATGGTTTTAGCTATGTGGAGACTTTTTAGTAGTAGTAGTAGTAGTAGTAGTAGTAGTAGTAGTAGTATTTTTTAAGTTTATAGGGAAACATCTGACCTGTCTTTCAAGATTGGGTCATAGCATTCTGTTCTTTAGAATTTAGGAAGGCAGGGTAAAGTGCCTGCTATCTTTGTATTACAGTTTTTCAGGTTTAGTTACATTATTTTTTAAAAAAAAAGGGGGTGGTGGTGGGGGTTATTTGCAGCCTTAATGGCAAAACTCCCAAATCTGTATCTTCACGGTGAAATTGAAGCATTTTTCCACATTATTCAACTGGTTAAGATAATTTTGTTTCTGTGAACCTCCCATTTAATATAACCGAAGTACATAAATAATGATTGTAGTACCAATCTTTGGGTAATAAATAAATAAATAAAGCATAATAAATATGCTTTAAATAAATAATAAGTATGCTTTCAGTTTTTAAGTACAAAGCTTCTGATTTGGAAAATACTTCTTTCTTTTGTTTCAGATTATGTCAAGGTCTAGAGTGGATGACCTCCCGGATTGGTGTGAGATAATTTTTTGCTTGAAAGAGACTTCTATTTATTCTGTGAACATGAACATTTTTTTCCTGGTACTGTTGGCTGCTAAGGCAGCAGCATGTTTAATTTATAACAACACAAACCTCTATGAGCAACACTTGAATCAAGTGCAGCTGAACTGGAACATAAAAGATTTTTTCTTACCTTTTTTTTAATGCACTAATCTTCAGTTGGATGAACATAATGTATAACTATGTTTTCAACAACAAAATTATTCTGACTACTTATTCTAATTATTCAATGACTGCCTTGTAAGAAATATTTGTCACATGTTTAATGTTTTCTGAAATACTGTAATAACCAATTTATTTCATTTATTGACCCTCCTTCCCCCAAATAATTACTGGTTTAACAACGTAGTAATGAAAATCATCAAGTATTGTTTGCAAACATCTCTAACTCTAAATATTTGCTCCTTCTATAAACCATTTATCTTTTGGACAAAACTTAGGGAGAAAAAAAAATCTGCCTAGAGGATATGTAAGGAAGATTAAACAACATGAGAATTTGCTTTTAAATGAGTAACTTCCTCCACATCATTGCAAGTCATAAAATAATTTTAAGTTTCTATTGGTGTGGAAATTTAATGAGTTATTTATTTGCCCAAAAGAATTAAGGTCGCTTTTCTGCCTGTGACTTGGGAAATGAGGAAATACAAATATGTCTTCTTAATCACATTAGGTCAAAAATTAAAGTAAGCTATTTATTTGAAAGTCCAGCTTTGAATGGTAAATTTTGTTGCATAAATCTGATATTTTTCAGATGTCACTTTATTCAAGACATATGTAACTGTGGGAAGTTATTAAAGCATACCAGCACTGAAATTCAAACCAGGCACTTGGGATATATTTTATTATAAATTATAAACAGTTTTATTATCAGCAAAACATTCAGCTGTTCCATTTGCAAGGGATATCACATCTGTAGGTACTGTTATAGCTAATAGCTGGAATAGAAATATAAATAGTTCTGATTTCTTAAAATTAAAAAATTGTGTGTCTGTAATAGAATTTCTACCACCAGCAGTATATATATTACTTAAAATATCATGTGACTTTCCTTAAATCTATTTGAAGTTTTAGTGTAATTGGCTTGAAGCAATTGCCATGTTTATAAATACACTTTGTGTTCTATATTCTTTCACTGGACTATAGACAACAGCTGAATTTAACCCTAGTTTTTAGAATGTTACTGTGTGAATCAAATTTGGCACACAGCTTATAAATTAAGTTTAAAAAGGAAAAAGTCATAATCTAGCAAAAATTATTGGATAGCATTAAAAAGTTTCAAGGTGGTTGTCTGATATGAACAGACCCTAAACAGTGCACACTTTAAATTAAAAGGGAGGAAAAGTATTCTGATTTCAGGTGTGTGATTTAGCTATAATGAAAGGGATAAAATGAATACTTAGAGAATAATACTTCATTTTTACAGTATTTTTAAAATTTGGGTCAAAAATAGGATTCAGTGTTCATAAAAATAGCAGAATATCTGTTCAAAAGTGGTATTTTAGTATTTTTTATTTGTAAATTGATTTAAATGTTGCCTTGTTTTCAGGTATATTGAATTTATTATATTTAGTTAAATTTCATGTCACCATGTTTTTCTGATTTCTATTTAGCGGTATGCCATCTCAACTGAAAAGTCAAGAGTAAAGCTTCCTGGACTTTGGGAACTAGTGTTTGACTTTGTTGTTTTGAACCTTTTTCTTAGTGATTCTATAAAGAATATAATTTTATTTTTACATAACCCATAATGAGATGGATTGACATAGTGGCTGCAGTGATGGGCTCAGGTATAGCAAGGACTATGAGGCTGGCACAAGACCGGGCAGTATTTCATTCTGTTGTACAAAGGGTCGCTGTGAGTCGGAGCTGACTCGACAGCATCTAACAATAGCAAATTAAGAAGATGAGAGAAAAGTAGTCATAAATCAGTATGGATGCTTTATCATTTGTGACGGAGGCAGGGGAGGAAAATTATGAAAATATCACTTACCTAAAGCACACTCTGCCTGAGTTTCTTCCTTGGATATATATAGTATAGTCGTAGGTACTGAGGAAAGTTCTGTTTTGAAGAAAGGTTATTCACTACTCCTGAATGCATTCTTCTTATGAAAGGATTAGCTGCCTTTTTGTATCTAAATATGATTGGTTGGCTCATTTGTCTGCTATGAAATTATCTGCTTATTTTTATATTACCACATCAGCATTATATTGAAAGTATTTTAATAGTTGATTATATTTTGTCGAACAACTACTAGTACAGACTCAAATTTGCTATTTAATTTTTAAAATACAATTTAATTTTCTAAATCCTTTATTAAAATACTTTAATTATTAGTTAGAAATTGTTTATGGTAGCTGTTTGTTGAAAAGGAGCTCTGGTGGTGCAGTGGTTGAAGCATCAGATTGCTAATGAAAAGGTAAGCAGTTCAAACCCACCAGCAGCTCTATGGGAGAAAGATGAGTCAGTCTACTTCTGTAGAGGTTTGTTGTTGTTGTTAATGTGCCGTCCAGTCGGACCGGACTCATAGCAACCCCTCCTTGGGTTTCCGAGGCAGTATCACTACAGAAGTAGATTGCCCCATCTTTCTTCTGAGGAGTGGCTGGTAGGTTTGAACCGCCAGCCTTCTGATTAGCAGTCAATTGCCTTAGGCACTATACTACCAGAGCTCCCAAAGAGATGGCCTGGCTACCTGGCGGGAAGTCGGCTGGTGGGTTTGAACCGCCAGCCTTGGGTGTGGCAGCTGACTGCCCGAGGCCCTGAGGCCATCCCCTAGGGCCCCATAGAGGTTTACAGCTTTGGAAACCCTATTGGGCAGTTCTACTCTGTCCTATAGGGTCGCTATGAGTTGGAATGGACTCAATGGCAGTGGGTTTGATTATTTTTGGTGTATTGAAGAAGCAGTAGATTTTGTGCCAATGATTAGGAAAAATACAATTAGGAAATTTATGTAAGATTTTTAAAAAGTATTTTCTAAGTTCTCATTAGATAATTTCTGTTACATTAATATGAAAAACCATTATCCTTTACTCCAAGAGAATGTTTTAGCCCAACCAAGTACCTAGTACTTTATAAAGCATTACTTCAGTCATTCATTTTATATTAATTATTGATGAAAAATGTAAATTTGTAGTTGATTAGTGCCTTTGTTCATATTTCGAGATAAGTTCCCAGTTGTGTACTCTGACTGTTCTTTGGAGATTAGATTAGCCAGCAAATTTTTTTAACAATGAAATAATATGCATTTAGCCCTCTATTTCAACTCCTCGTACTTTTTAGCAAAGTTTAGAGTAAGTAGTGGAAAGCAGGCATAATACCCTTAATTTGAGGATAAGAAAGTTGAATTTTAACTGATATCTATTCAATATATTATTAAAACTGAAATGTAAAGCTTCTTCCCTTATAAGTTCAAATATGGTATTTTTCTTAATTTTGACCATACTGCTTTCTTCATATTTAAACCCATCATTCTTAGTGAAGCCTTTTGAGAATTCTTTTAGTGATTAAAAGGCCTTTTTACATGGGAATATATTGCATATTTTGAGTTGTTACTACAGTTCCTTGAAACCGTAAAGTATATGCTGTCTGTTTAAAAACTAAAGATTAAATAAATGCACATTTTGTTTTGTTTAGTTTTTAGGTTCTTGTTAGTATCTTAAAGCTATAGTCACTTATATTCTATATTCTTTAGAGGAATGATAATAAATTCAAGTTCCATTGCTAAAAATAATTTTTAAGTGGGCATCACCTCTATAATCAGTTTGGTTAAATTCAGCCTTCAGTATCTATAACTTAAGGTGAAAATAATTATTTTCCTGTGGAGTGAATGATGATAGGTAGTGTTATAAATGGTATACTACCCAGAGTTATGAGAAATCCCCATGCAAAAAGGAAAAAATAAAACAATAAAGCTACTTTTTTTTTTTTTGGCCTTTTGGTGTGTCTTAGGGAAAATCATAAACAATTGTTTCTGACTAGCATTCTTATGTAGTCCTTAACTGTGTGAAACTGTCAATAGAAAAATGTGCTGGTATTATCACTAAATAGATACATTTTCTTTTTTTTTTTTTTTCCACAGACAAATACGATTATGGGTTTATTAGGGAAGTAATAGGTTACAACTCAGGATCAGAAACAACAAAGGATACTGTCTTAGGTTGGGTTCTCTAGAGAAGCAAAACCAGTGAAATATATATATAGGTAGATAGATAGGTAGATGGATGGATAGATAGTGAGCTGGAGGTTTTTTGTTGCATACAGAGAGATTTATCATAGGGAAATGGCTTACACAGTTGTGGCTGGTAAGTCCCAACTTCATGAGTCAGACATCAAGCTGGAGGCTTTTCCTGTCTCACACAGCTGCAGGGACTGACAAACTCAAGATTGCCAGGCAGTAGAGCAGGCTGCTGGCTTTGGCAGATAACAAGTCCAAGATCAGCAGGTAAAATGGCAGATCATTGGCTCACAGGCTAGAAGGCAACAATCCCAAGATTGACAGGCAGTATGACAGGCCACTGGTTCAGCTCCAAGAACTAGAGATGATGAGCTAGATGTAGAACCAACATCCAGCAGAAAGCCAGAGAGTATTCCTGGGATGTCCATCCATATATGGGAAGTAGGCCATACCCCTGAAGAAACTGCCTTTCAACTGAGTGGCTGCAATAGATACATTTTCATTGGCATTTATCTTTGGAGACCACCTTTATGAGGGTAACTGTTTATCTACCACTTTGAATCCAAAAAACGTCACATCCAGTTCAATTTTAAAGGATCTTTTACATTTTTCTAAGAGTAAGTAGTGTCACTTCAAGATAAAGCATAGTATATTAGAAAGATTATTGTGCTAACTATATAAAGAAGTGGTTTTAAATCTTATTTTGGGCATTGTTTTATTGACTTTAGTTCATTTATTTTCTGTCCATAGACTTCCTTTTTGTTTTCTCTTTCTGTTGAGGAACCTAAGCAAATTA